CATTTAGGAGTGGCACGCATTAGATGCAGTGTTTATCTTTATCTGACTTTTCCCATATTACGACGCACTCAAATATAGTTCATTATTTAGTCGGCGCAGTAGTTTTTGGCCGCTGGAGAAGCTGGCGGACGGGCCTACTCTGTGTACCTGAGGTGGCACGGTCAGCGTATTTCTTTTGTTTGGGCGTTCAGTCAGACAAGCTCCTCGGTGCAGTCAGCATTATACCATCGCACAAGTGACTCGCTCCTAGCCTTCCCCTTGAAAATTCCACTGGCCAAAAACTATTGCGCCAACTATATCATGGTACACGATGTTACGTCTTATTTAATTCTGTGTATCATGTGTGTGCATGTTCTTTATATATATGTTATGTATATACTTTATATGAATTAATATTAATAATAATAATAATAATCTTTACACTCATTTGTGTTTTTAAAATAATTACTTGTAACGTGCATTGCAATTCAAGAAAGAATTTAACAGACATTTGAGAAATAAATAATAAATAAATGGAGTTATGGACAACTGATCGGAGGATACTACGATTTAAATTTGGTGGTTTAAAAAGTCGTAATATTTGTAACAAATAGACCTCTACTATAGAAATTATTCCAGAAGACGATTCCTAGCTTATTCCTTATTCTCATCTTTCAGCTTTTACGAATTACGCTCTCTAGGTTGTTCCAATTCAAAAGTAATGCCCGAACGTATGAATGTTCTAGGCTCTCGGTAAGACTTCTTGTGACACTGATCGGTTTCTCGCAAGAGAGAAACTTTTTTTTTCGTTTCTCTTTGTGACAGGATGGAGTCTACTCTGGCAACTTCCAAAAAGAACGGCAGTAAACCTAACTACATCTTTAGGAACAGATAAATATTTCAGCACACTATTTTCAAGTTCACTTACCAATTCCGCATTAAAGAGTTTCATTTTTAAAAAGTGATTTGTGTCAACTATTACTTTTTTACAAACATCAACAGATACATGTTCTGTTAAATGCATGATTTTGATTTGTTTGTTTCGCATTTTAGACAGATTTTACTGGTCTCTAAAATAGGTCAAAACCACTTCGTTCTTTGCCTTTCCTAATTAATATTTCACAGTAATTTTTCATTTGACACCAAAAAAACTTTTCACGTCCAGAAATGAAGGTCACGCGTTTAAAAAATTTATGGCCAGACTGTACAGTGAGCGAGAGAGCGCTCGTGATGGGTCGGGTTTTTCCGTGCAAAATAACCTGAATATCTTCGTTGTAGAATATGTTGTAGCAGGGATTCTCAAAATTTAGCTGGAGCCATGTTGATTCTTTACTCACATCTACGAGGACCGCCGAGACTTTGTGATTATTTTATTTTGTTTTTGGGAATAAGTAACTTTGCCTACTTAGGATACAAACGAAAATTCTATGTCAAATATTTTGGATGTAGCCTCTAAGTTTTGCATTGATTCTATATCTGCAGTTTTTCACTAAGGCTTAAATACAATACGCCATATATTATTTGAAAATCTATCTTTAAACAGAAATTTATAGCTCCAGTTTTATATTAGTTATTAAATTTAGTGCTAAAGAAACTTTTCATTACCTCCTGTTTTATATTGTAAAAATATTATATTAACAAAACGTATTTCAAATATCTTTAATCATACATTATTTCAGAACGAAAATGGCACAAGTGGCTGTCCCACTTCATAATTTCGCCCTACGCGTTACTACCGAGTGAAATGAAGTACGGGGCTGGAGTGTCTTACAAAGCCAGAAACCTCATTTATATTTAATACGATTTTAATTAACTGGAATTACTTTATTCTTCAACGACTGTCGTACTTCATCGCCTTGATATTTATTTATGTTTTAAATTTAAAGATTGTCGCCATATTGAAATGTGTAATTGTAAATACTTTTTTCGTATGGGTCTATGTGACAGAACGTTTATAGAAACAAACCATAGGTAACCTGTGTTAAAACATGCATAAATTTACGTATTTAAATTGTGACAAATCATATATAAGACAGAAACAAGGCAATTGATTTTTTTTCGTGTATAACACGTAAGGAGTATTGAAGTTGACAAGATTACAAAATTGTGGCTCAGATACTAAAGGACAAACACATACACTGTACATTAAACAGAATGACGCTGATACATGAACATTTACGGTAGCAAAAAGTTACAAATGTACGGTCATGTTTCAGACTATAGCAGAATTTCACAATTTTAAGGACCCATCGCTCTATAAATATTTTGTTATGATACGATACATGACCAATACTTTCTCTTCAATACAAGACGCCATTTTTAGTTCAGCTGAAAAAATATGAATCGTATTAGATCTTGAAATATGAAAGAATTAAAAATGAAGCTCAGGGTTAAAGACAAGTTCATAATAGCAAATCATTGAAGTTATCCGGATGCAAACATAGTCATATACATTTTACGAATGAATTAAATTACTGAACCTAATGACTTTGGAAATTACTCCACGCTCTACTTGCGTTACCACGATGAAAATTAATATATATAAAATGTTCAGAATGTTAGTTAAAATATCAAATTTGCTTCTTTTTAACATTTTGGATTCTTAGTTTTTTTAAAATTCCGTTCCGAAAATTAGTCCTTAGAGAATAAATAATTTTAAATCGTAACGGATGATATAGTAAATGGACCTGTGTGTTCTAACTTCCCGTAAGCTCTCATAATACCAGCTGCTTCTTGAATCTTCTCATAAAAGTACGTAAATTATAGCGTTTTTCGTCAGTCTATTCTCCGTGATGGCTGGAGCTATTCTACTGTATTATATTGGCAACACTGGCTTCACACGCCAACGAATATTCAGAATACAACAAGTTGGCTTATTTTAAATCGTGTCAATATTTTCTTCGTATTTATTTCGTATTTTAATTTCCATCAATACTTCAGTAACATTATTAATGATAGGCCTATTTAAACTACAGAGTGTTCTAGAAAAATGTATACACACCTTATTTCATCATTTTACGCTCTGTAGTATCACCAAGCTATGCGTAACAGCCATTTATCATTATTAGAATACATAAATGCAGAATACCATTTATCTGTCTCTGTTTTATATGCGTTATTAACATTCGAATGAAGTGTACTTTTTCCTTTTACTTTTGGGATCTTGTGTTTATAACCGTTGCTAACAAATATTGACATAAATATCCTTTATAAGAATGACATCTAATGCGCAGACGCAGTACATGTTACGCAGGATTTCTTTGGAACCTGTATGGTTACGATCATTGCCAGTTAGTCAATCAGCAGAAAACGATTAATAGAAGGACGGCTACTTCAAGTGAAGCTTGTAAAGTGTACTCTTGTAGAGTGTGATGAGATGATAACAAAGTAAGTCTTGTAAGATATGAGGTTTTCACAACGGTGAATATTAGACTTTCTGTCTTCTGGGTTGTTGCGCTGTGTAGTCTGGTAATCAGGGCGATGAAAATATATATATAATATTCATCACCATGTATGACCTCTGAAACGTTGGTTAACATCGATCAGACTACACAGCGCAACAACCCAGAAGACAGAAATCTTCAAAGTAAGTCTTGTTCACTGGGACCATTATGGTTCTGAAATTAAATTTGCTTTATAAATTATTAAAATACAATTCATTGAGAGTTGTATTTATAGTGGTATTCGTACATATTTGTGAGTCAATTAATTTTCATGCCCGTTTGAACAGTTCGAATCCTTTCTGGTATATTCAGAGACTGCCTTAGAACAGGCCCCGTTCAACACTGGGCTTAACTATTTGTGACAGAATCTTGGCGTGCAGGGCATATTGATTATATATACTGTTTTAATAAAACCGCCAGTAACTAAAAGTCATTCGAGGGTGATACGTATCAATTCTTTGAATTTTTCAAATAAAAACGTGATTTATAAGCACATGTTTTAAGGTACAGAGTAATCTATTTTGAATTGTTTACACTGTGAAACTGAATTATAAAATAGAACGAAGATCTGATTTGTAAATAACTAGGTTTTTAATATAGTGTTGTGTAGTTATAGTATTTCTGTGGGTTTGTGGTGTGTTCTGAGAATTAAATATGTTTTGAAAGAAAGAATGTTTTTGCCGTATTTTTACCAGCTTTAGAATAGCGTGCAGGCTACTTCACTCCATCTATAAAATGAACGCCAGAGGCTTTGGTTGCAATTCGATTTGATATTCAGATCTCCGTGGTTTCTCACATGCCTCTTTTATCACCTATAACTCTTTTACAACGATACATTTTCTTCCGGGAATCTGATCGTGGGTAGCCATCTCATGATTACGTTTCTGCCTGGAATAGCCCAAATTTTATTTCTGCCTTAGGACCTGCTTGAATCTTACCATTTATTGTAGTTGAATGGAACCCCGAATAAGATGTAATAAAACATTCTTCCATTTCCACTTGAATCCAAGGTCTAATTGGTGTTTATACCGCATTCAAATCCTGATTCTGTTTAAATGAAGTGTATTTTTTACTGTTCTCACACGCTGAGGTTGGAAATTGTAGTGTTACATAGAAACTAAAGTCAATGTTGCTTCAATAGTTTATTTACAGACATATGTCCGTGGTGATGTCCGGGTTTAAAAATACGTGTCAATGCGGTTTGGAACGCACTTTGTTTGAAATAAATGACCATGAATCTTACGAAGCAGGTCTCAATGTACTTAATAATGGATTTGCACGAATGGGTGTGTAATGATATTGAAATAGATCTTAACAGCATGTTGTGAGTATATGAAACATTAATCTTACTGACGATACGATCTTATGAATACTGCAGTAAACTTCCGGGTTTTGAATTTTTTGAATGGCTGAAAGAATCTTCTCCTTGGAGTTAGGTAGGGAAATTAAAAATGACAGATAAAACAGGTTGTAGAAACAAATGTATCGGAAAGGTCATGGATTGTGAAGGCAACATTAATATTCATCTTACTGATCAGAGTGTGTACATCCTTTGAATGAGCAATTATCCTGTTGCAGCCACTGGAAGATGCCCCCGTTTCTGACTGCGTTGTTTTTGTCAATTTGCCTGTTCACGGTGCCGGCGTGGATGAACTACGTGGATAACCGTAACCTCGACCCCAGTGCCATCGTATTTCCATCCAGCTTCATTGCTTCATTCTCTACTCCGAACCGAGTTCAGAACGTCGACCCTCAGATGCAATACATTCACGCCGTGGAGGCCATGTTTGCTGTGACCGTTCGCCTGAAGGCGCTCCTGGAAATGGGTGCAACAACGAATCTGTTGGTATCGCCAATAAGTACCACGACAGCTCTAGCCGAGTTACTCTTGGGAGCTCGTGGATCGACTCGGGAGTACCTGCTGAAAATTCTGACAGCCGTCGACAGGTCTGAATACACTCGGGAACCAACAGTGTCAGAGTTCCATCTGCATATGGGAGGTCTCATTAAGTTTCTGCAGACCAGTTCGGATTACGATGACTCCTACCGACTCCATTTTGCCAGTGCATTGTTTCTGCGACCAGACCTGAGTCTTCTCCCCAACTTTCGCAGCGCTGCTACTGATCTATATGGAATGGCAGTGTTGCCTACAGACTTCAGGTGAGCACAAGAAGTCGACGAGATATTAGTTTAATCTAAATATATTTATATTTCTATTGTCCACACAGGTTATATGCAACATCTTATTATAGTTTAAAGAAAAGAGCGGATAGTAAATGTTAAGGATAGTGAAAAAATTAATGAAATGCAATATACCACCAAATTAATGTTGGCAGCACGAAAAACGTGACGAAATTATATCCAGTGAGTTTGCTTTTATGTATATAATATAACAGCCACACTTAGAACTGATGCAAACAACTTTGAGGGTACACACGTGTCGAAACTTGTAGCCACAGCAAAGCGTTATGTAGGTGATAACAAACATTCATACTAAGGAAGCTTCCCAGAAATTCACTTAGGTGGTTTCTTTTAACTGTTGAATTCAATGGTAAGTTCGACGATGCTGTTCTGTTGATATTGTGGACAGTGATCTGTGGTGAGACTTCCGTGGGCATAAGGTGAAAATATAGTAAAATTTGCTGAGTGACTGTGGACTGTGGCTTCCTCAAGACCGCGTTCATAGTTGGTAGATTTATAACTCGTCTCCACTGAAATGACCAGTTGATAGTGCTGTTGAAACTATTATTTATCTATTCTGATAAAATACGAAACCCATGAATACGCTATTTTAAAATTTCAGTTCCTAAATTTTAAAGCGAGTGCTATACAAATATACCACAGAGATCTAAATAATTAAAAGGCGCGTACCGAATATTACGTAACAAAAACGAAAAAAAACAAAACAATAATTGTTATTGAAAAAAAAATTATGTTTGAAGAAACTCTTTAAGTGATCGCTTCGAATTCCGTGCTGATTTATTTTACAGCCGAGTGGAAAGCCACAATTAAACAAGACTTATCCTTGTGGGTAATGTGGGTGTTTAAAGAGTTAATGCAGAGTAGAGGTCGCGCGAGAAGTCCTGGCACTTGCGCAAAGGACTGGTTTCGGTCATATGAGATGGACCCGTCCAAAGCACGCGCTAGAGGGGTGTCAGCTTCAGTTGGTTTGTAGCTCTAGCTGTGTTTAGATCGGTGCGTCACCGCAGCTGAGGCTGTGCGACCCCCACTACTACTGAACTCCCCTCTCTCGGCTTACACATCGCGCATTTAGGTGTCACGACTACTCGCGCGACCTATAAATCCAGGGAAACCACTGGTAAACTGCACTCGGTGATCTGGTAAATAAATTAGCTCGCGTCCAATTTGAGTGTTTAAGCATAAAAATAGTTTGTATTGATCATAAAGGTATTAAATGCAGATTTTTCAACGTAAGAGGTTATGAATCGTCGAATGAGATAAGATGATGATCATGAATTGCAAGAAGTTAAGGATTTGGAAGGACATTGTTACAGGTTATTGAAGGTATTATCTCAATATTTTTGTTGGTATAAAATCATAAACGAAATATTCCAGTGACAGATACTTAACCTAACTCTCCAGAGACTTCATTAACTTCATACGTGTACTCAAGTAGAGGGCATTTATTTTCCAGATGTTTTTATTTACCATTTTGCCTGACTGGTCTTGATCCTTTTACGTAGACAAATCCATTGAAGCATAAGTACAGTACGCGACTGTAAACTTAAGACTTGCAAGGAATGCAGAAAGTCCGAAGCGTTAAAGGCAGACGCTATCTTCCTCACCCCGCAAATCTCAAGATTACAGTCGGGGACTATAATAAACGTATATATGATAGTGTATGTAGATATAAAGTGTTTTCTTTGTAATTCTTAAATACTCGCTACTTAAAAATGACTTCTTGTACAAGGAGTTACTTTTGAAGAATTTCATGAAGTTAATTTCAAATATATTCCATGTTTCTTTCATACTGCTTAAATAAATTATATTTTTACAGTGGAGATCCTTTGGGTTCACTCAACAAGATGAATCACTGGGCAGCCATACATACAATGGGCACCATCAACAAAGTGTTCAGTCATCCCCTGCCTAAGACAACAGCAGCTGTTTTAACCAATGCCATTTATTTTAAAGGCGACTGGGAAACCCCATTTAATCCCAGATACACTATAACGGGAAAGTTTCATAGTAGTGATACTCGCACAGTGGATGTTGAGTTTATGCGTGGACAATTCGATCTGATGTATGTAGACAGCGGAAGGTTAGGATGTCGCATGATTTCAATCCCATACAAACACTCCAAAGCATCAATGTATGTTATCCTTCCAGACGTTGGTGACTTGTACAATATACAAGGATTTGCAGCCGGATTATCTGTAGATGATACTTTAGAACTCATTTCTTCATTAAGATATGCTTCAATAACTTTAGTTATGCCAAAGATGAAACTAACTCAGACTTTTAGCATTGGGAAAGCCCTGTCTATCTTTCAAAGGCAGATTGAGTCTGGGTCCAAGGAGAAAGTGTTTGGTTCTGGTCCATATCTGAATAAGATGCAAGGAAATGAATGCGCTAAGAATGATGGCTGCAACTGCTCGCGTAATGCAAGCACTCAGAATGGAAATTACAAGAAGGTGCCCGGAGAAATTGAATACAAAACATTTGACATGAGTGGAGCTTCGTGTGACGATCGTTTTCGGGTTGATGATATTATTCATCACGTTTTTCTGGAAGTCAGTGAAATGGGCACTGTGGGTGCTGCTGTCAGCGCTACCATTGTGGACTACATCGGAGAGTTTAAGAATTTTAAAATGGACAGACCATTTCTGTTTTTCATACGACATGACGTTACTGGAACTCCACTTTTTTGGGGTACAATTGTAGACCCAACGAATGGGGGTGAATGAAAACTGACATGTCAGGAATCGAACAAGAAGCTTTAGTTATTGCCAATATAGACGTGAAGAGTTCATAGAGTTTATTAAGGTCCCCTCTTACTTTTAAGAGCAGCAGTACTAATCATTTATTTATCAAGTTAATAACTAGGGATCTATCGGTATGTCGCTAAACTATGATAGTTGGATAGTTTTTGTATGTTCGCATATTTATTAAAATTATAGTAAGCCAATAAAATCTTTCCGGTCAATCAGCCGCGTCAACTGGTTATCGTAGTAGTTACTACGGTAAACAGTTGACGGGGCTGATTGCCCGAGAAGATTTTATTGATTGAACTCGCCGCGAAAGTCTCAAATCCAAAATTATAGTACTTGTACGAAAAGATGGATTGTTCTTGGGAAAGTGTAACTTGAGTTTTTAAAATACTTCTAAATGAATGTATTCGAAGTGTGAGCTGTGAGGTTGTAAAGGAACATATAATTCATACTTAAAATGTCCTGTTACTTTGCTTCAATTGTAATTACTGGAGACTTAGTACAGTGAAGAAATATTTGTAGCATGATGGTCTTCTGATGTGTTCTTAAAATTTGTTACGTAATATTAACCCCTTCAATGCTGCAATAAGATATCTTGCATAGAAGCACTAACTGTTCTGGTGAGTAATTATTTTTGTCTGGGAAGCTCAAAGAAACTCCCGTCATCTCTAAACTAATAGCTAACTGTTTGTTTTCATTACCAATTGAAATTGTAGATTACCGTGGAATTATTCCAAATTAATGAGATTTTATTCTTTACTCATTGCATTGAAAGTGTTGCTATTTTCTGATAATATGTATTTGTAAAGTGTGATTGTTTTTATGTACTAAAAGCTGTTTTATAAAATTTACAATCATTACTCTTAAATAAAGAATTACAATATTTGGTAATTTTATTGATAATACTGTGTTTGTGAGAAATGATGAGACTAATTTTGCATTGGTTAATTGAAAATACTCGTTGAAATGTGATAGAACATTCAAGTGACATGAATTTACGTAGTTTTTACTTCAATATTAATTCTTCCCGTATATGTTGGAAAGTGAACAGTTCACTTAATTTTATGGAAAAGGTGGAAGAAATACACAGATTAATTTTGTACAATTTATAATAATTACCGTGAGTCTGTTGATAATTAAATATGTCTTACTTTATTTTACTCTTTGACACCAAGTTTAAGGAAGTTGAATTTCACGTAATTTTAAGCATTCTGTGGTAGTTAAAGTTCTGGAAAATTAAGTTGGAAACATTTTACCTTCCTTATCCCGAAACATTTACTCATGACTTTTACAAACGCAGAGTTCGAGACTCCAGGTTTTATGTACCAAACATTAAAACACTACCTTTAAATTACAATCTTTGAATGAATTATAGATATGCATGTTCTTTTCAACTTTTCATAGTTGGGCCCCATTTATGTTGCTGTCAGGACGCAGACGGCATTGTCGTAAGTATATAATTCTGAGGGTGTCTCTTATTCCGTGATATACCTGCATCAGTACAATAATGGCTGTATCAGAAAAGCAACTGTTTTATTCGCATTTGTCAGTAGGCGACCCTAAATTCTTGCATATGCAAATGTGCATTTCATATCCATGCATTATAATTTTTGTAATGGAGTCAATTTTTTCTATCATACCATGCTGGTTTTATAAAAAAACGTAACCAATTAATGTTTTAATTGACTATACTGATCATTTTATTAATGTTAGATTTATGTATTTAAAAGAAATTTATGAACTACTATAAAATATTCTGCCGTCATATAAATTTGTTCTTGAGTGTGAGCTTTTGTTTGTTCGTTGTATAATAGCAGTGCTTCATTTGTCCTCCTTAGGTGTGGCCTAAATGGTATCCTAGCAACCCAGTGACATAACATCTAGAATAAGCTTTTGTTCTTTTGTGGATCTTCAGGATTAACTCCCTCACATTTTCTTGTATGTAATATGAATTAAATTTACTCTGTTTTGCACCCAGTTATTTGTGTCTCACTGCAGAACTTTAGCGCTGTGATATCACTGTAATGACCTGTTCACAAAAGGGTTCTATTTATTAATTTTAAAAGAAGTTCAATTTTGGGACTTTATTAGCTCGAACCTGCGAAAGTCTAATTTTATAAAATAATTTTTAAACTGTTGGTTAAATATTTTACTATAAATGATTTGAGAGTTTTCTGCAGAGACGTTCAGAGATGTAAGGCTTTATAAGGCTTTTGCTATTATTTCTATATAACTAATTAGATTTATAGAAATGCTAGTGTTTGTATAAATTTTATCACATTCACAAAACAGAGCTAGATAAAATTAAATTTAGTGCGTGTATTTTATGACTTTGGAGTGGGTGTACCTTTAAAGAACATTGCCTGCGCGTCCGACTAATGCAGGGCGGTCTTCAGACCTTGAAAGTGTACCTTAAGGTTTTACGTCTTCCTTTTAGAAAATTTAAAATTCAACTTAGTATTATTCTAAAATCTAGTACAGCATTAGTTGTTTGAAATGAGCATGTACGTTTTATTTTATGACTCGTTAACTAAGTCATACAAATAATTAAATGGGGAAGTTATTAATGAAATAGACACTGTCGCTGTACGCGTAGGTCGAATTTCAAATTGTTGCAAATGTTTGCGCTATTCTTAAGTTCCTGATTTGTGTAAACATTACTTATCAAATGGGAGAGTTTATGTAATAAAGTCTTGATACCTAATAAACCTATTTGAATTAAAATTGACTTTACGTGAGAAGTTTGCATGTGGGTCCTTGACACAAATTTTAGTCTAAATTTGTTCGAGATAATACTTGCGGACAGACAGGTACAAAAGACCTCCTTATTATGCGCTAATTTAGTGTATTTTGTGCAAAGAACACTTACAAACTGCGTGTGTATCATGTTGTAACGCCAACTTATATTACTTTACACTGTAACTGTTAGTTATTAGAAACATAACCTCACAGAACCAAGAAATCCCGCCCCCCCCAACCACCCTTTGGGCTTCCCATTAAAAAGTTGTACGCACGAATCGGAGGATGGAATAGATCGATCGTTGTAATGTGGTAATCTAAAGTGCAAGCCAGAAACTGTTCAAAGAATTAATTGGCAATCCATCCAGCATTTCCAACTAGATTTAATGACCCCTTGAAAATAGGATTTCAGTTGGGATCTATATATGGACAGTGGTGATATTGAAGTTCGTGCTATGACTGCAAAAGTGCAACTCAAACAGCATTTGAGGGTAATTTTTCTGTTCTTTTTTTTCCTCGTTCCTCTTATTTTTATAAAAGTATACGATAGGGCAAGGACAATGCTAGCTGATTAGATGTCAATCCCACACGTTCAGCTGTCACATCTGTTTGATTTGTTCACTTGTCTCTTATGAACCTACAACTATTATCTTATTTTATATGCCAGTCCAGCTTGTTATGGATTGATAAAAGTTTTTTAAGTCCGTCGGGACTCTGTCTCGACAACCAATGACTTGGATTCGCGATGTGTATTTCCTTTTTTTTTATTCTACTAAAAGTAGTCTTCTCGTTTTATTTTAACATAGCGAAAGACAGAAAACGGAACATTTGATATCGAATGGTATCTGGAACTTAAATTGTAAAATGGCGTTTTCCTTTATACTCATGCGATTGTAAAATTTCGATTCTGGAATGTGTACATCTGTTCTGATGGCGATACACTGAGTCCAAGTGCCAAGAAACAAACCACAGAGCTTATATAATCATAATTATCCGTGATTAATAACATTTAATGCTCTGAAATAATGCTACCGACAAAGCAAGTGAGTTTGGAATTAGTTCAATTGTACAAAAATTTTCTTACAAGTTTGCTTTAATACGTGCCTCTTTCTTGTAGGAGTTTAGTGAAATATCTTCCCTATTAAGAGTATTGAAATCGCCTTTCCTTTTTTAGGTTGATAGCTTCTAGTTTCATCCTGTCTTGCAGTGCACAGTGACGTACTACAGCGCTGTATGGTGATTCATTTGTTTTAGCGAGGAAAGTGTTCAGTGTGCTTACAGATGAAGGGAGAGTCAAGTTGGAACAGAACGAGTTACATAACTACTTTGGTATTTACATGAACTGTGTGATTACAGTTGTAACAGCATAATAAATAGTGTTCATATACTGAGTGAATAGTTTACATACCCAGATTTTTGTCTAAACAAGTGCGCGCTACACAGAGTAGAGGTTATGTGGAATGAAATCAGTCTTTCTTGAAACAACAGACAGATGGAGCAGTTGGTGAGTGAAATTTTTTTATCACTGTTTGTATTATATGTTATTGTACGTACGTGCGCTGTGCAATCCGGAAGTAATTGCAGAATCGTGTGCCCACTGTATGTTTTCTTAGTGCCATCTTCGGCTGTAGGACATATGTATTTTTTGTAAAACACAATGTTTGAGAAATTATAATTATTTAAATAGTGATTCGAACATAATTTTTTATTAAAGAGAGAAATGTGATGAGAGCTGTATGTAGCATGCAAGGATAGATGCGGCATAAATAATAAGATTTTTATTGGGAAACATAAAGAGAAGAGACGATTTAGAAGACATTCGCTTGATGATAGGACAATATTAAAATGGATTAAAAAATAGAATAAATGGATGCGGATTGATTTAATTGAACTCAGATTAGAGACTATTGGCGGGATGTTGTGTACGCGATGGTGATCCATGAATGGCTGTCAGCATACCCAGAAGCAGTGCGTCTGATTTATGTAACTACAACGTAATGCAATGTGAAATATATTGACTTTGAGCCACCATTTAATGTTTATTATTAATCAGAAAATTTACCAATATTTAATTACGAGCCGGTAAACATTAATTACCATTTTCGATTTCAGTTATTAATTTCAAACAGGAATTTATGTATTTTCGGAAATGTGATATACCTTTGTCTTAAACTCCTGGAGTAAGTAAAAGCAGACATATTTATCTTAATATTTGCACCCGAAAGCAACTTTTGAAATGTATTATTATTTTTGGGTCTGTATTTGATATCTTCAGCGCCGATATTAAGTTTTTAGGGCTTCGGCTATATACGATTTTAAGTTTTAAATTGTTTTATTAATCAATCGTTTTGTAAATATTATTATAGAGCTTGGACATTAAATTGAGGTCAAAGCGCTAATTTTGCTAAATTGCAGGATGATATTGCATGTCTTCCCTAACACAGCAATATATTTGTCTTGTAATTTTGACTTTTGTATCAG